TATATCGAAGGATGTAAGGAAGAATTTAGGAGGGAGAAGTTAAAGTTATCAATTATAGAGATCTCTTTCTTAAATTATCCCGCTCCTCTTTTATCACAAAAATTTATTATTGTTTCATTTATTTTCATCTCCCGTTCTTCATCGGGCATAAAACGTGACTCTCCGAGATATGAAAGGACACGCGCGCATGAGCGATCCTGATCCGCTGGCGGACCGACAACCTTTCAAATCCCTTCGGCGTTAAGGATTTGCTATTTTTACGAGCTATAATCTTAACGAATCGCTAATCCCGCGGAATGACGACTATTTTTCAAAGTGTCCTCCTTTTTTGTCCGCTCGCCGCGAATCTTTTTCCACCGCCACGGGCACACGGCATCTTGGTCGCGAATTTCGGCGTCGTATATTCCTTATGGCCCTATATATTCGGCGAACGACTGGTATTTAAGTCTTTGTAATCCGGCCAAGTTTTGCGGGGGAGCCGAGCATGGTGAGTCATGGCAGGTGCTGCTGCTTGAAGAACGAAGGAAAGACGAGGCGAGGACCCCGCGTTCCAACGAACGCATCTTCCCCCTTCTTTCAAACTTTTCAGCTGTTTAATGCGACTCCGGTATGAGCATTTTGCGGCAACGATGAATTTTGCATTTATTTACCGTTTCGAAAATTGCAATTTTCCACAGTTCGAACATGATTGCGATATAGGTACATCGCGAACAATAATGACATTTAATTAGCAATTTTTAACTGTTTCTCTTAATTTTTTGATTTTCTTTAATATCAATAATACTCTATAAAATTGACATTTTAAAAAATTGAGATTTTTAATCCTAATTTCTTAGAACGTATAAAAATTATATAGATATTCTTCCATAAGTTGCATGCGTTCCGAGAATTTAAAACAAAAGTCTACCTAAAATTTGAATTATCTCGAAGCTGACAATATATTGAAATTTATACAGGCGTCCAAACGAGGAGAAAACTAAAACGCAAAATGTCAAGCGATAGCAAACGATCGATTTCTGCAACTCATGATGACTCGGATGTCGTATTCGAGATTTTTCATGCATTCGGATCTTTGCGCGTCTCCATCGCAATGCTCGTCTAAGAACGAGCATATAAATTATACCTCGTGAGTGGAGCTACACCGTGACAGGAGACAAAATACTCCGGTCCTCGCATGGTTCCTAGATCTACCGATGATATCTTCACTAAACGAAATGCCACCCAAGGTGTTAGTCAGTCTCGAGATGGCACAAGTAGATAGACGACACATTATCTCCATCGCATTAGACATTTTACGGTTGAGAAATGCATCTTGAAAAATGTAACGAATGTGCGATTTCCTAGCAAGTAGGTGATAATGATGGTCCAAGCGTTATCGAGCGTTATCGAGAAGAAGAGTGAGGCAACGCAGTTTTAGGAAACAAAAATCTCTCCAGGGAAATACAGAACACACATCACGAACGTAACAGGATCCTGCGGCAAAACATAAATCTGTGCGGTTAATACTCGTAATAATTGTTTATTTACGGTTTGTAATAACAGCATAAAATTTATTTTCAATCCGATGGACAATAATTGCGGTAGCAAGCCCGACGTTTCGCTGCAATTTGTATGGATTTACAATACTTACACATGCATACCGATTAATGTCATCTATACACTGTAATAACTACGCCGAGATACATGCGGGTACATTTAGGATTTTATTCCTGATGACGGTCGTTATATGTAATTTTTACGTCAGCTGAAAATTACGATCGATCACGAGAACTTACAACGTTTCTCGTGCAATCGTTTTCGACAATGGCCGGTAACATCACACGGAGAAAAGCGCTTTTAAAAACGAACGCATCGCTGCAGGTACAGTGGTGTCGGTAGCCGCGAGATGAAACAGAGAGATGGGGAACGTACTTTCAGAAGCAACCGGGCACAGGTGCGTTCCCTGACATGTTGCTCGTGCCGCAATCTGGTATGCATACACCCTACTGTGATTGTTTTGAGAACGGGAGAACGAGGGGTATAAAGTACGCATAGAACGACGAGAAAAGTGGAAAAAGGACGAGCGCGTCTGCGATCAAACGTACAATGCCTGTACGAAAAAACTGTTTTCATTCCATTCCATAGAAATTACTCTTTTCTTTTTAACTTGTCGTATCTGTTCAAAATAGTTACGAAACGACACGAGAACAAATTTTTATTAATGCGGTAATAAATAGTTATAAATAGATTTAATATCCACAGATTACACTTATTGTTAATTAAAAAACAAAACAAAATCTTCTATTTGTAATTTAACAATTATTATTGGAAAATTTAACAACTATGTATGTAAGATATGACAAAATATGCTCCTTGAATGCGAGCTTGAAATAGGACCTATATTCGTACAACACTTTTTGCTTAAAATGACCTTCCGAACAAGCTGTCAAAGTCTTTTATCCTCGATCGTAGATCATCCTGTATATTAACGTCAACAAAAGAAATATTGTGAATATAAAAAAGAATAAATTGCGTATTTGCATGAAGCGACAATCTAAGAGACGAACGCGATATTCTGCGGATGTTGCTCGGCGACTGCGACGTCGTGAAATAAATTATTGTCGGGCGCAGCCGCTCGTTTCTGCGCTCGTGCCGTTTCGCAATTGCAATTGCACGCTCGTGCCGCGACTCTTCCGAGAAGAGGGAGTAGAATGAGAGAGGTAAACGACTCGCAAAAGGAGAAAACGGGACGGTGAAGATCGACGAGGAGGCAGAATGGGAGAAGTTACGGAGATCTCTGTGAGAGCGTGGTGCTATCGCAACCGTGTGTCTCACAGTGTATTCGATCGAGAGAGACTCTCTGTCTGCTCACCTTCGCCGAGGCGAAGGTAGAGGTACAGATGTAGCCTTGGTGCCTTGGATGCTGCGGCGGAAGCGAGAGGAGAGAGAGAGAGAGAGAAAGAAAGATGCGGTGAATGCCGCGCGAAGGATTCCGTAACCTTTAGCACGGCGGCGCACCTCGATTACGATCGATCGAGACGCATCACGAATATCGTGTACGCGAGGAAGTGGAAGGTCTTGTTGCAAGATCGAGGTAACGTTGTTTCTGCCGCGGGACGTCGTTTTCTTATCGCGACTTCGAGAATGCCGAGTCTGATCGAGGAATTAAGGAACAAAATACTTCGTTCTGCAATTACAACTCCGTTTTATCTCACGATTCCTTTTTAAGGTCTCGTAATATCGGGAAACATCATCGATTCCTTTGCCGCAAATTCTTTAATTTCGCACATCCAAAGTTGAAGGAAAGGCTGCATTTTCTCCCGGATCGCCGCTATTAATCTTACCGCGGATAAAATGGCGCAAAAAGGAGGAACGTAGCCGTAAGGTTTGATAAAAAGAATGCTCTTTGAGAAACTCACTCGAGGAATTCCTCGAGCGCTACCGAGCGCTAATGCGCCCCCGCGCCGACTGCAAAAAACTCAGCGAAGCCACGACCAAGAGGACGAAAGAAATGGAGCGAAAACGAGCGAACGGAGATGGCCTTGGGGGCCGTAAGCGGGGAACAATGAGGGAACCTCGCGCTCGTGACAGCCTCCGGAGGAACGCGCGAGCGCGTGATGTATGCTCGGTCAGAACCCCGCAACCAGATGAAGTCTGATTGCACTCCCGCGCACTCTGCATGCCCATTACAACTACTGTTAAGCGGCAGCTGTTTCACGACGCGCGGCTTAACTCGGGGAACCGCACCGCGGCGCTCACGGATGATGAACAGATAGAGAAGATATTTAAGAAGATTTATGAGCTCCCGGTATAATACCTCGTGGCCACGAACCATGGTAGTGTCATCTTCGTATCGGCACGAAGGCACGAGCGGTATGTATGTATCGTCCTTCGAAACGCGATGTCAAACTCAACTTGTATAGATAAACGAAATTTTTCATGCGCGATTCTTTAAAATGTCCATAAACGTCAAGAATGCATATATATCGTTACACCTAATTTATCGTGAAAATATTTACAACACAGGGTTAAAAGCTTTGCTACGATTGCGCGTTATCGTCGTCCTGGAGATTCCAACCACGAGAATCTCAGGCACGTTCATCCACCCTTGGTAAAGCGTGTCGGCCAAGCATAGACGTAATCTAAGCCACGCGAGACGACTCGCCTCTCATTATCTCGGCGAGAGAGAGACCGGCCGAGTGGGGCCTTAAATCAACGTCCCTTGCGACAATTAACTCGCTCGTATGAGTGAATAGGACTGGCATCTAGAGAACGAGCGAGTCACGCGCGCCACCACCTGCCAGAGCGTGACCTCTCGTACATACACGCGCGGTTGTCCCAGGCGACTGCATATCGAGTCGCTACATCCGCATGACTTATGGTCTTACTTCCCTGAATGAACATCGAGAATGCGCTTTAAGCCGCGATGGCCGGCATCAACTCGCTTACGGTCTTTGTCGCGAGTCCGAACAGGGCGCGCGTCCGTCAGACTCCTCAAGACGGGGACAAAAAGCGCCCGTCTACGTGCAAAGAGAGAGAGAGAGAGAGGCCGGTGTTGCGTTTCAAGCTCGTCAAGATGCACGCTGCATTTACCATTAATCAACGCGCAGAGTAAATGATTACGCCGATGGCACTCACGGAACCGCCGGCGCTGGCCCGTGATTGGCGGACCGACGACTGATGACGGATGAGGGTTTAGCGATCTTTCTCGTCTACTTAAAGCTCGTCCTCTAGGAGACGGCCACGTGGCCATGCTGTCGGTCCAAGGTGACCCAGATTTCTCGACGCGGTATAAGCTGGACGTTTACAAAACGAACGAAAGAGCACGGGAACATTGAATATTTTCTCGAAATAACACACGAATGCTGTGTTCGTAGACATCAAGTTCCAAGGAACTTAACGCGAGAGTATAATTTTCGATTCGCATGGTGAGGCGAATTACGATTCAACGTGTTCTCTTTCTCTTTCTTTTTATTTGTACGTCTACCATAAACACGATAGAGCGTAGCGCGGTACCTACCTTCATACATGCACCTGTAATAACATCGGTGGGTTTATAGCGGCGACCTATGACCCCGCTCGCGTTCGAGATACAGACGAGCGATGCGTCGAAGGCAGCCGTGGTAGGACGTCGATTATCCAGTCATTTTCCCAGGCCCTTCGCAGACGCGTCCAGTCCTCGTTCGACCGTTACACGGAGAACGTGCACGTGTGCTAGTGGGTGTATGTCAGAGCTATTACATTCGGAGACTCGGGTAGACGGCGAGTGCCGAGTGAGGAAGGGGAAAGCCCTTAGAATGCACTATAAAGGGAAGGAGTGGGTAGAGCATACTCCCCTTTCTCTTTCCATTATTTCACTCCTTCTATCTTCTCCACAGTATTGAACGAGAGAGAATCTGGAGACAGGAGACTGAAGAGGGCTGCCATCGCTGAAGTTTCCGATATTACCTTCGTACATTAAATACATCATATTCTTATTCTTGAGCAATATAAACGATCGTTGTAATCGGCGTACTTTAAAAATGTATAAGAAATTAAATTAGCAGCAGCTTAATCCGAAGAGATAACCTACGTCTGAAAAAAAAGTTGAAGTTAATCTGGCACGTAATTTAATTAAGTACTGCAAAATAAAGCAAAATAATTCACCTTGTTTATCTGATACATCTGCTGATGCAACGTGCTGAGGCCTCTCTTTCAGGAGCCCTCGAGATGGTGTCGAGAAGAAGGCCTCGTCTTTCGATAAATCGCTTATTATTGTTCCCGACTAAGTAAAGACAAGTAAATGATTAAAATATTAATTTTCCGTGATGCGAAACTTTGAAACACGACATAGCAATATCGGAGACTGTAATTTTACATGAAAGGATCATTATATTGTTACTAACGAGAAGCTTGATCTAAGATCTAAGGTTTCAGTTTTATATAATAAGCGATATGAAAAGATGTCATTTATAAAAAAAAAAAAAAAAAAACCTCTTTGTTGACAATCGTTCTTGATATGCATCATTCATCGTAGTCCGCAGAAAGAACGATGCGATCAATAACAAGAGACATACAAGTAAGTCTCGTGATTTATCTGCAGACGAAAACCATTTTTCACGATATGATCAATTTTGAGGTGATCTCGGTCATCGCGATATATGTCCAGCAACGACACAGACACGGCCTTCCGGTGACAAGTATCGAGTTTCGCGTGCAACGTATAGGAAGGTGCAGGAAACGGGGAGTGGAAAGAGGTTCTCGGGCGTCCATCGCGAGAGAGAAGATTTACGTAACGGCTCATGCGCGCATGACCGAATGCGTGTTGTCAGTCTGCGTGCATCCGGACGTTTCACGTGTGGAGGAGCCGCGGTTTTGGGCACCTGCCCGTGGGCCGTGACCCCTTATATGCGCGTACGAAAGAAGAGGGAACGAGCGCGCCGAAGAGAAAAAGAGTTTCGCAGACGGAGAGAGACGGAGGGAGATCAAGCGAGAGAGACGGGGCCCCGGCATCCTTCGCTGATTGACGAGCACCAGAGTCACTGAGATGTGCCCGAGAGACGGAGCAATAAAGCACGTGCGCGCATAAACGCGAGAGAACGATCTCGACGTTGCGGGAGAGTAGGAGGAGAAGAGAAGAGCGAAACACCTGCCCATGTTCTTCGAGGGGGCACATCTCGTCCGTTGATACATATTCATCCTCTCGAGCGAAACAGATCGGCGGAGCTCTCCTATTGATGACGATTTGTACAGAGTAATAGAGATATTGATTGAATTCGCTCTACCGCTCCGTCATCTCCATGCACCGACGTTAAATATCTATCTACGTGATACGTAGATCTCTCTCTCTCTCTCTCTCTCTCTCTCTCTCTCTCGCAATTTCCATTAAAATTTCATTTTATTTTTTCCGTACTTTTCGCACGCTGGCTGTTTATGCGTTTCATAAAAAAGAGTATACGAGCGCCATGCATTTTGCAGAGTGAATAAAATAATTACCTATTTCAATCGAGGGCACCGTCATACACAGCATTACGTTGCCTCGCGAGTGATTTTCACGCGATTTGTTCGTCGCGTTAAAAATTCATCCCTCCAAAGCACTTTCCTGTTTAATAAAAAATCCATAACCGCTGTATTATAAAATTAATAAATAATAAAACTCATCCGGGCAATAGCTTTTACGTGCGATTACTCGCATCAAATTCAAATGTAATGAGTGCATCATATATATTATAAATATTCTCTCCTTTACTCTTTTGGCACGAAATTATTAAAACAAGTAAATAAATAAATCGTACTGATTTTAAGTTCGGAAATACATCAGAGATGACATACTGAAACGTATATTTTGGTCTAATTGTTTTATAATCGTTTTTCCTTGATGAGTACCCTGTGGATGCGCATTGACAATCGTGAAGCCTGACGTTAAATCGCGGTCGTGTCATGTCGTGATTGGAAGAGGAAAAAAAAGAGAGGAAAGTCACGCAACGCGACGCAGGTGTTCGCGAAGATTCAGAAGAGAGAGGCACGCGCAACGAGATCTGTAGCGCGTGCGCGTGAAAGTTGTTCGCCCAGCTTCTGGATCAGGTCGATCGCCCTCTCGAATCCCTTCGTCTCCTACCCCTCATACGTTCCACGGTAATCGGGGCACCGAGCAACGCGGACGTGCGAGTGGACGCCGTTTAATTAGAATTAATGCGGTTGCCCATCATTCGCGGGTATCATTCTTTCGCGGGGTATCACAAGCACGTTGTCGAGCAAAAACTGGTATTTATCCAGATTGGCCGGTGATCGGCTTTTTTTCCACGATCGACGAGATTAAAGTTCCATAAATAAAAAGTGGCCGCACATGCAAAGAGGTCAATATTAAAGGCAATTAAGATCGGAGAGTTTAATTTCACGAATTTTTATCTCGGCGTACAAGTATTTTATTTATGCAAGGTTTAATTTATTAACGTCATGTAACCGACCGATCGACTGTCACCACCTGAATCTGTTCGAAACACTTGCCGAAACATCTGTAACCTTACGTACATTTATACGTAAATCGATATGCCGGAAGGGAAGTATCCCCCACCACGGTTGCTTCACCAGCCGGATCGTTAGAAGTCCACGAATCCGACGACGTCCGATGAAAAGCAAACGAACAAAAGCAACGCGAGTAAAGTGTAATAAAAGACCTAAAAGAGCGAAATCTCGTTATATCGGAGAGCTAATTCGAAACGATGTATTATATTAATCTTGGCGTTAGTCAGCTTATTTGTTCGCCCTCGTCTGGCGGAACAGTCGTAGATTAAACAAAAGGGCTGACGAAGAGGCAGACGGATCTTTCCCGCGGCAAAACCGAGACACAGCGAGAACTATGCGCTGGCTCTTCCACATGTAGGTAGATAACGAAGGAAAACTTTTCGCTTCCTTTCTATGGAGAGGAGAGGAGAGAAGAGGGAGGAGAGGAATGAATTCGATTCTTTCCTACTCGTTATAATGGCGACTCGCTATAATTCCTTGCGCGAGGTCGGATGAGTAATGATCTGCCAGTGATACAAATCGTTGCGATTCACCTGCAGACGATTCGGCAATTCGGTTCTGGTTCCAATTAAAAGAACACAGGTACAGATCAGCGGGTGGACCGTCCCTCCACGGCACCCCGTGGGAGAGGGTTCGACCGTTTCGTGTATTCTGAATGGAACCTGTTCGATACTACCAATTTTTCGATCTTGCATTATTAGTCACGGTCGTGTTGCAAAAAAAAATGAGATCGATCTACGTGCAACTGCAATGTAGCGTAATTACCAGCAGACGCATTGACGTGTACGTCGTAATTAGCGCGACCGGCCACTTAACCGGCAGCCATAGCTAATTTGTAGTCATTTGCCGCGCGCGAGTCTCACTCGTTTGCGGCTAATAATGTCACTCGGAAGATTAAACTCCGGAACGCATTTATTGACGCGATATAACGGTGTTTCGCGCTGAATTAAAAGGCTACATTAATTAGGGAATAAAAAAATGTTCGATTAGTTATACTACAATCACGCGTTAATAATAATAGAGATAATTGCAATTATAAATATACGAAAATTTTATCAAGATGTAATCGAACATTAAAAGTATCAAATAATGATGATGCAAAAAGTATTTTATTTTATTATAGAAACAATTCTGCATCCAGATTTTATAGAAATCTTATTCTCGTACAGAATATGAGAATGTAAATATTTTTGAGCACAAAGATTTCTTTTTCCTATCATCTTACAAAACCGAAGATTATCCTTTAAGAACGTTTCGACGTAAAGGAAAAAGCTGATAAAGATATTAGATAATCTCTCTTGCAGAAAAGTTTAGATAATTCGAAACACGAGAACTATGCAATCTTTCACATGGGCAGATAAAGAAAGAAACGAAAGAAAACTTTTCGTTTCTTTCTATAGAAGAAGACGAGAGAGAAGAAAGGAAGGGACGGATTTGATTCTTTCCTATTCATTATAATTCTCGCGAATCACTATGATCTTCGTGCGAGAACAAACATTTGCTGACACGTACCGGTCTAATCTGCAATTCTTGCCGCAGGCAAAAAATCCTTAATCAACGTTCATCTTATATTCGCAGCTTGAGCAATAAAAGACAGAGCAGCCCTAAAATTTGATAGGAATATTTACACAATAAACACTATCTTCTTGTTGTGAGAAAATTTTCTGTTGAACTAAACTAAACTTTGTCAGGCGATCCGTAGATAAGTTCGGCAGAAACAGGAAGAGCATTCGAGCCCATTTCGCCTTGATGTCGTGGCAGGTATACGTGCTGAACGACCGCGATCATAAATCCTCGATACTGCCGATGGGTAGATAGTTTCATATCTATATATATATATATATATATATATTTGTATAAAGAAACACGTTATGGGAAATGTCCTATCGTACGACGACGGCAAGCAGGTGCGCCGGCTATATAAGGTTAAAAGACTATACGGAGTCGACTCTCCTCCTCGAAGCACGATAAAACGCGATGGGTGCTTCTCGTCCAACTTCTATGCGAGGAGTTATTACGTACGCCTACGCCTCCGGGTCCGGCCGCAGGAAACTCTGTGACGAGGGCACGACGAGACGGCGAGAAGGACATAGGGGGAGAAATTGTTTTTTCGGTGTATATCCACGGAAATTGAACGTCGAGAGTCGAGAGAAAGAGAGAGCTGAAACGACTAGCTGTTAAGCTGTAAATCTCAAGCGAGCGACATAAATCGCTGGCGAATTTTTTGAACGGAGATTCGTGCGCGCACATTCGTCAGCTCTACTCAAATTGCCTGATGAGGCTGAATCAGGCCGCCGGTTTTTCTCCGCGGTATTAACGTCGTATCGGCGGTATAAGAGCGGAGCGCACGCGACAAAAAGTAAAATTGCCGTACTTACAAACGATGCGCCGAAACGAGCGAAAAGGGGCACCTACTAGTCCTAAAAAAACTTCGGCCCGCGTGATCAAAGGATCGTTTTCGATTCTCATGCAAGAACGTAATTTGATGTAGTTTTCCTCTCCGCCCAATATGTCGAGATATCCCAGAATTTCTTTCATCGAATTATTTGTTCGTGACACGTACACATTTATATCAATTTTAACATCAGACACGATAAAAACATTTCATAAATGTTTAAATTAATTATATCATATAAGCATTCCGATCTAATTTGTCAGTAATAAACAAATTAATATTTATTAACACATTTAGGACTAATCGAATTATGTGCGTGTGTATATGCGTCGTATATGAATATAATTATTATTAATTATTTTTGTCAAACACATTTTTAATTACTCGTAGCAGATTAAGTGTCGATATCGGCATAATGCTCTCGTTTAATCATAATATTTTAACATGATTACCCGTAAATTCGCGGCGAATGCCGAACACGTTGTGTGACGGCCACAAGCGAACCGGTTTCAATGAGATGACGTTAATTAACGTGCCGTTAATACAAATCGTTGAATGCAGCAACGCGTAGCTTGAAAACATCGTGGGACATCGACCGACAAAATTTCAATTTAACGAAGCGTAATTGTCCACGATCGCGTATACGTTAATCGCATGCCTGACAAGTAAGGATCATTAACACGGCGACGTTTAATAACCGCTGCCATTAATTACCGCCTCGCCGCACAGAATATCATCGACAAGGTGAATCCATTTTTCTTGTATTATAATGATTTCGAAAGCCCGGCTCCGCTCTGCAATTAATTGGCCTTATATAAAATAAATTAATATATATATATTTCGCTTTTTACAGAAACTCACATGAGAAGGTTGCGAAACTTCACACTATAACTTTAGATAAGGTTTGAACTGCACGTGTCGGCCGGAAGCGGAAACGCGTTATGGGAACGACGAAAGCCACAAGTGGCATGGGACTTGTAAGTTTAATGATGCGCATATAAATGCGGGAAGTGTGCAAAGTCGGAGATGACACATGTAGATAACCGTAGGAAGGGGACGAGAGATGTGACCGGCGTCTAATATTAGTATCGTAAGCGTTATTAGCGTCATAAATATTAAAATTTACCGAATGACACTTTCGTTAAGCTTCGTTATCGATGACGTATCGATAAATAGTTTTCAATGTGCCTCGAGATCTCTTGCATTTTTCATGTACGAAACCTCTAATCAATTTTAATAGACTTGCACGAGACATATATATCACAATTTATAACGTTTCGGCAATATATATCGATCCGTCCTCATATAAAATTCTTCGCGCGAGTGTAAAATGTATGACTTTGCCCGCAAACTTCTACGGGGAGCATTATCGTTATTAATGTAGCGATAAATTTCTACCTATATACAATTCTTTCGCGGAAGCGATAAAAAAAGGATATGTTTTATTATACGTACCTCTCTCTTTGTGCAACGCGCTCGCTACCGAACGCGTTTATTTGACGGATGCACCTACGCTCTCCTGACAGCGCAGCTTCCTTTCAACGGCTCGGCTACGTGCCTTAAGCCGCATTCGACGGACCGGACCTCTTACGAAGCGCGCACCGACTGTGCGTCCAATTCAGAAGCAATTGAATTCACAATTCCGGCCATTACGAGAGTGTCGGGAAAAAGATTA